CCTGACTTGTAGGTCTCTGGAACGACTCCAGCACGAACGAATGGAACATCAGCGACAGGGTATTCCAAGCCGGATCCTACTCCTTCCACAACGTGATCACCGCTAAAATTGACAGTTCCATAAATTAAATTTTATATTTTTCTAAGGAATATACATGTATTTGTTAAACAATAAAGAGAAAAATGTAGTTTCATTATGAAAATCAACTGTACTAATTAAAACAAAAGTAAACACCATATTTAACTTTATCCTGATCATAATGTACAAATGAAAATGAAACATATAATTTGACAGTATTATTATTCAATTACTTATTTAGCAAATTATATAATCAATTGTGAATGCTTATGAAAGTATATAAACATATAAACAACTACATATTCATATTATTCTTATTTATTAAATTCACTAGTTTTGTGACCAATTAATATCTTTCAATTAAGGTTTTTAGTTGAGAAAAAAAATCAGTGTAACGAGCGGGATTCGAACCCACGACCTTCGGGACTCGGATCCACTCGGACACTAACTTCCCATCTCAACCACACCTTTTGAATTTTCCCTCCTTTTTGCCATTATTATTGTTTCCATTCCTTGGTATTTTCTTAATTATCCGTATTAAGACAAATTTTAAGCTTTCTGGGCTTTTGTTAAACCGGATTTTAACTGTTACGTACAGTATAAAAAATATACAAGCAAAATATATTCACCTGTATTGCACAGCTACTGCAGCGCCGAAAAGGCAGAAGAATACCTTTAAAATTGAAATGTTAGTGCATTTTCGAAAATGTAAAACTCAGGGTCTGACTTACGATTGGGTTCATTGTCAGTTTCGAGCCAAGAACTGGAACTGACGATTTTTCATCGTTTAGAATCTTTTATACCAAAGGCCTAATGAGTTGAGGCCTGATATCGATGAGTTTTCAACTTCTTTACAAAGAGTTTATCACCTTAGCTTTAACGATATCCAAAATTAGTTTGTAGAAGAGAGGAAAATTCCATTCTGAATGAAAACTTTCCACCCTCCTACAATTTTCAGCCCAGCCAAATTTTTGTTTTGTTTTTCTATATGATTATATAACATTTTCAATTTACTGTCTGTTTTAATTAAGATACAATAAAAAAAAGCTTTATGTTTCGATTTTAAATTACTTAAAAAATGTGGTTTTATGATTTTGCATTAAAAAAAAATTGTGCAATTACTTTTATAATTATATAAAGTAAGTAGAAATTTGTAATAATAGAAACATAAAACGTATAACTGTTCATTGAAAAGTAAATAAATAAATTAAGATTATTTGGTTTATGAAGACTTTCTTTCATTGAAGAGTTTTTTTACATTGCAATATCTGTCTTGATGGATGGATAATTATATTACTTCATTAAAAAAATATGTAATTTTGTCCTTACTACCAACTGGTGCTATACTTATGTAAACTAATTTAAACTAATTCTAATACAGAATTCTTTTAAAGCTGAAGTTTTTTCTTTCAATTTCCCTCTATAAAAATATTTTAATACATGCGATCTATTTATGTCGAATTTTTTGCACAGTATTACTTAATGGTAAATAACCAATATTGCACTATATTTTGTAAATTAGTGGTTCAGTCTTGTGCCAGGATGGGTTGAAGAATTTTTCATCGATCAAAAAAGCATTGAGTTCACTGTGATTGCACTATCTGTAAACGATCTGTAAAAATTTTTTGATTTTGGTAGCATAACCGCGGGCTCAATAAAAAATAAAATACTCTCTTTTTCCTTTTTCTCAATTTCAGTATGGCTATCTTCCTCCCTTCTTTCTTCTTTCTCCCTCCCTCCCTCTTTCTTTCTCTCTCTCTCTCCCTCTCTTTCTCTCTTTCTCTCTCATTCTCTCTCTCTCTCTCTATCTCTCTCTACAAATATATCTATCCATCTATTTATATATCTATCCGCTTCTATTTTTCACACTCTCTTCTTTATTGTGGCGCTCGATTACATGGGATTTCATATTTATTTTATTACTCATATAAAACAGCAAATATCTTAACATATAGCGAGAAAAAACATTTTATACCGACGTACTCTTCATTGTTCTATTGTTTCTTGAAACAATTTTAGTAAATGATAGAAAATAAATTATTACAAAATGTTAGCCTTCATTTGGAACTTCTCCCTCGAATAGGAAAAAAAATCCTGAATTATATAACCTCCATTTTGCATAATTTGATATAATGGGAATCTACTTAATAAAATTAAATACAAATTGGTATTTCTGAGACAGTTTTTATTATTTATTAAGTTGCTATATTTCGTACAAAATGATTAAGCAAAGATTTTTTTTTTTAGGAAAAAGCAGTTAATAAAAAATTAAAGCGAAAAGATACAAAAATTAATGTAAATAGAGAATGTTTAGCCTTCACTCGAGAAATTTCATGCACTTTTCTTCAAGGGGTGAACGCATTTTCAGCACGGAAGATTTATTTTTGAAAAGACGCGCGCAACCCCGGGACACAAGAGCCCTGCAGCCTCGAGGGCAGTTGGCGCAGTTAGAACAATGGCCATCACATGCACTTCTCAGTTCACTCACTCCTCTCAAATCATGCATATCGTACGATTTTTCGAAAGTACGGCAAAATTCGCGGAGCGAGTCATCCATTTCTGAATTGACGGGATCATCGTTCTGGACTTTTAACTTCTGTTGAAAAAAAAAAAAAAAAAATTAAATAAAACTCTTATTTGTTTTATTATTACCACGTGTTATCACCTTATTGCTCGGTATGACCATCTTGTGCATATCACCTGCGTTTTTCGACTGTTTGGAATGTGCCATAGCTGAGACAGTCAGCAGTAAGAAAACTATAAATTTAAACGTGTGATGTTTAGTGACCGTTAGTCAATGATTATTCGGAGATCGTGAGATGCGGTCTGGTGTGACGTAGGGTTTAGAAAAACATTTTCTTTATCGTGCCAACGTTTCGATCTTGTTGAGATCATCTTCAGGGGCTGGGATTTAATGTTTGTAAATCCCAGGCCCTGAAGATGATCTCAATATAGATCGAAACGTTGGCACGATAAAGAAAATATTGTACTAAAACCTACGTCAAACCATACCGCATCTCACGATCTCCGAATAATTATAAATTTAAAAATCAGACATTTTAAAAATCTTGTTCTGCTAACTTACACTGCAAAGGTTTTATATGTCAAAAGTTTTTAAAACTTGATATCTGATTCATTTATAATTGTTAAGCTTTTATGAGCTATCATTGTTGTTTCATGACGTTTTATTATATTTTGTATATACATTCTCCAATTGTTATTAATCGAAAGATTGAAATTGATTTTCAAAAGAAAACAACGGTTATTCTGAAACGATCAGTCAACATAAACACGACATAAATTTAATCATATTATATTTTCATTTTTTCTAAGGATATTTCTGCAAAGAAAAAGTTGTAAAATATTAGAAATTATCATAAGTGAAATAAATAATGCATTCTTCTTCAGCTTAGAATTTTATATCAATGGCATGTTTTGTTTCTTTTTTCTAACGAAGCTATAGTTTTTACCTAAGAACCAAGAACAAAATGATACACGATGAATGTATTTATTAGTTAGATTCGTTTATATGACTAACCTGAGAGGGCGAAGGCGTAAACTGAATAAAGACTCATGTTGTCTGTTCTTTTCTTCAGAAAGGACTGCCAAAAACGGAGTTCCAGCCATCTTTTATACCGTACCAGTGATCAAATTCTAAACATGTAAAAATTATCTTCGCAACAGGAAGCCCGAGAGTACGAACCATAACTATCACCTTGGTGTAATTTTGCAAATGCATTTTTGTGAATAAATTACCTTCTAAAAGCCTTTGACATATCTCTACTCTTCTAGATTTTTTTAATAAAGCAGGATGATCTTATAAGGACTGAGCTAAATATATATTTTATATTAATCATTAATTGTATAATTAATCATTTGTATGTATTTTAATACTTTATCATTAAAAAAATATCGCAGGGGTGTGATAGCAACTGTTTGGGCGCTCATCATTGTAAGGGAAAAGTCCCGGGTTCGAATCCGGTGGCCCAGCATTCGAACCCGACCAACTTACAAATGGGCTTTTTGTTCAAAAACACCGGCACCCCAAGGGTTGATATGATATTGCTTGTGTTTGTGTGGGGGTTGTTTTTAAACATCTGTACAAAATTTTTTGTTGATAGATCATCGATAGACTACCATGATCATAGTAAAAAGTGTAAATGATTTGTTTCGTAATTTGGACTTTTAATGCTTTGTACTAACGGACACAAAGAACGCAATCAGACAAGACTTTGTTTCTTATTTGAAACTACAATATGATCCGGTGGACTGAATATAAACAATATTTTTAGGGTTTAACTTTTGTAGTACTGAAGAGTATTCAGTTGAATAATAGTTGTACTGACCGATCGACGAAGGCTTTTTTTTATAAATGGAACATCGTTCTTATAAAACCCGACAAACACATCCATAAAGCTCTTTCCTACTACTTCTTTTCTTTAAAAAAATATTTAACAAGATTGTTCTCAAACTATCTCTACACTAAACTCCTTCAACCTTCTCCCCGAGATTTCGTCTTCAACATTCCACAACCAAGCAGGTGCTTGGCCGTGTGGACCACATATCGTCGGGGGGGGGACCTTTCTTGATGTTACAAAATTTGATCGCATGTGGCATGAAACTCTCTTGTGCAAATTAAAACCAAGACCTTGTACTAATCCTTCGCGCCTACCTAACAAAACGATTTTGCCGAGTTGGCCAAGATTCGGACTACTCCGAATATTGTCCTCTGGGAGCGGAAGTGCTTCAGGGCAGTATGTCCTTCTTGAACCTCATCTTTACCGCAAATACCTTGACTTCCATTCTCCAAGCGTCCTTTGCCAACAACAGAGCTGTGCTATCCTCTGTCTGACATGCAATCGCATAGGAAGAGCTCCAGGCACACGTGTTGCGAATAGCTGAATGGAGCAAATTCTTGTGCCTTAAGATAGATGGAAACAAATGCACCTATACTACTTTTACCCTCCGAAGCAACTACATCATACAATATTTCTCAATAATACTCCTATCTCACAAACTAACAGTGTACGCTACCATGGGTTCTGTCTCGACTCTCGTCTAGCCTGGATCGGACATATACTAACTAAAAGACAATAATTAAACAGACGCTTCGGACAACTGTACGAATTATTATCAAGAACATCGCACGTATCAACAAAAAACAAACTTACACTTTATAAGACACTACTGAAACCGATTGCTACATACGGATTAAAACTGTGGGGTATCGCTAAACCTTCTAACATTCCAAGAATACAGCTATCTGCCATATCCTAAACTGAATTAAAGCGGAAAAAAGCACAAGAATATGCCTGTTTTTATCAAAACTAGAAGGCGAAGAAAAAAATGAGACGGACTCAGAAGACGAAGATAAATTGGAAGATGATAAAATGGAGTCGAAGAAGATGATTCCCATGAAAAGGGTTAGGTGGAGGGATAGGAAGATAGGAGAACACATAGAAAGATGTGAATAGCAAGTGCCATCTCAGTAGGCAAAAATGGTATTGAAGTTAAAGACGATGAAGAACATAAATGGAAGATCCCCTAGCAACGGATATCATCTGCTACAAAGTACCTTTTCACCAACGTTTCGCCATGTTAAAGATGCTATACCATCATTTTATGGTAATTCTGAATATCATTGCTTCTGAGTCATTCTTACTACTTAGTAAGTTTCTGTCTAAGGATAAATAATGTAGAAACAATTCTTTTGCATGTCAATGATTTTCATTTTTCGTCAATCAAAAATTGAATTCTTGTTTTTATTTTGATCTATTCAGAGATAGTTTAAGAATTTGTATTCATTACTAGAATAAGTCCCCCGCTTATATAATATAAGAAATATCGAGTACTCTGGGGGAGTGAATGTGACTACACATCTATGTTTGTGGTGATGTACCAACGAGAGGTTAGCATTTCTGGATATCGACGTGACACAAATTTAAGGCAGAAACCAGATCGAGGCGCTCAAATGGCTGCAGTTTAAAACAAAAGATGCGCTACCTTAGCTGTTTGTCGGCCCATAAACTTTCAACTTTATTATTATAAGAATATTCCAGATCATTGGATGAAGAAAGTCGATATTTCAACCTCTGAAAACCTCAAAAGAAGTTTTTTCATCTTCTTATTAAGTGTTTATTTGAATTTTCTTGGTTTTGGCATGTCAGGGTTGATTTCTAAGGAGCACATAAAAAAAAAATAAATAAATAAAAAAAGAGTACTGTATCTTAAGATTGTTTATTAATGAAATTTTTACGAAATTATATCAGATAACATATTTTGTTTCTGAGTTTTTTCAAGAATGCTCTAAATATTATCTGTGGTGATTAGTGACCGTTATCGATGATTATTCAGAAATCGTGATATGCGGTCTGGCGTGATGTAGGTTTCAGAAAAACATTTTCTTTATCGTGCCAACGTTTCGATCTTTATTGAGATCATCTTCAGGGCCTGGGATTTACAAACGTTGTTTCCATTTAACAAATACATTTAGGATGTGGAAAAGTGAATTTATACAATGCAAAAAAAATTTTTTTATATTCAATCAAAGTATTTCTAAATAATATTTTAATTGTGCGTTAGTTACAAGATAGTTCAGATCTTTGTTATTTGAATCAATTATTTGTAAATGCAATAATGTCTCAAGCAAAACTTTTATGTAGTTTTTATATTGTTTATGATCTTCTTATGAATTTTCTGTATATTATTACTCATTAAGATTAATGTTGTTTTCTTCTGCGATTTTCAGGCCAGTGGAAAAAATCACACTTTTACTAAAAATACTTATCATCGTTCTTGTAGAACTTCGTTAAAATTTCTTCATGATAACAACAAATTGAAATTCCTTTAACCGCCTGTCTTGAAGCATCTCGCACTTGAATCCTAAACAGACCGATAGCTTTGTCTTGCAGAAAATCCACCCAGTAAAGCTCATCAATCTTTCAGACAGCTTAGGCCGATGTGATACGAAGGCGTTGTGCAGATACAACCCGTTTCCTGAACACAGGCCTGGAAGATAATTTGAAAATATGGTCATAATTCATTACGGGCGGGTGTAATTACTACCTGAGCGTTTAAAGCTTATCTCTTGACGTACAAGATACAACCGGTGGCATTTTGTGTTAACGTTTTTTCATTGTCGCCCCGATGCACGCCCATAAGAGTTGGTAAGTCATTTTTGTGCCGTTCAAAACTGAATTTCAAAGAAACAAATGTACTTATTTGTGTGGTTCTATCGACTCTCTGTTTAAGTCGTTAACTTCACTCAAAAAATATTGTATATCTCCTCGAAAATCTGCATTGTAAATTTAAAAAAAAAATGTAAAAAGTAGGTTGTCGTGTATCTTTGTACCACATTGGCCTGAGCGATGTCCATGTTTTATGAGCTTTACTAGGCGAATTTGGTATTAATTATGTAAGAAATATTATATGTTAAATGGAAAAATGCCTTTGAATGATAAAATTCCTTGTAGAGCAGAAATCTATTGGTTCTAAGGGCCAATTCTGTACACCTTTCAAAATGCCTGAAACGAATACGATTTTAAAGCCGTAAATATATAATTATTCCTCATGGTTGTTATCTGGGAGCTGGGGACTTGAGACCTTTGTACCAATACAAATTAGCATTAATTGTCAGGTAATGTGATTATGCTTCTTAAGTAAGAAAGATGCAGTTTTAGCGTATGTAAGAATAAAAGGACGGGTGATGTCTCTCATTGCTGATCGGTATTATTTTCTGCTGTTGCAGGATTCTAAATGTATATATCGTTTCTCTTCGGCCTTTTCCAATAAGGAGTTTTTCAGTAAAGCAGAATTTCCAATACTTTCCTTCTCGTAAAAGAGGATTTTGTATCAGACGCGGGTAAGCCATGCCAAGAGAATGCAATGGCCAGGTGAGCTGTTTTCATGGGCGTAATCATGAAAATGATTTTTTGAATAATTGTATAACCACAAATATGCATAATCATTAAGAAGGATGTTCAGTCTAGCCTAGGCACTAAGTATTATTAAAGAGATTTTGCATAACGTTTCCACTATTTCAAGGTCTCCTTTATATTTAACGACTCTCAAATAACGTTGACGCTATTTCAAGATTTTTTGACAGTTAACGCTGTTTTCTATGGAGTTTGTATTAGTTCAGGGTCTTATCTTATCTGTAAAATGGCACAGTTCGCGAATGTTATTCTCTTGATTGATGACGGCAGTTTGGCAAATGATGAGGACCTGATTGTTGTAGCTCTAACGTACATGTAAGCATTAATTACGGGCGGTTTGGGGCAAATGAAATTGAGGACAAAATCTGTCAAAACTCTTAGAAAAAGCTTTTAGCTTAGCTTAGCAATTTTAGTGAAAACTAAAATATTACAGTCTGTTAACGATGTATATATGTTGATCTTCTCCACCTTTACCTAGTTTTTGTTGAGCTTTGATCCACCAGATTAGTAATCCATGTTACTTTGTGTCTTATTACTGTTGTAGGTATCCAATGGGCCATTTTTGGTTTTCGTCTCCAAGATTTGCCTAAGGTTCTTCTTGTGGTAATTAGCGATATTTTACCTTTTGTTATGGTATGCTACAGAAAGGAGTTCCAGGTTAACTTTTTATCACATTATTCCTAGACATTTAACCTCATTTTTTAATGGCAGCATTTCATCACAGAAGGGTTGCACTGAACTTGTCCACCTTTTGTAATTTGTACATTTGTCATTTACAGCATATATGTATGTACAATACACTCTATTCTACATGTTATAAATCTCGTCCTTTATTTGTATTCCTTTCGTACATGCTACACTAATTGGTGTTTACGCCCAGGTGATGGAAGATAGTAGGAAGTATGTATGTGCTCCCTAGGCACTCCAGCCTTCTGGCTTATTGTACCTTGAAGTATTAGACCATTGACTGTCACTGCTACATTTTCATTCACAAGATTGTTTTTATATGCTAGGTTGTTTCCATTGAGCTGTTGCTTTGCATTCAAAGATTATATGGGTGGCTGTTTCTTCCTCCTCATTACATAATCTGCAAATGAGTTCATCATTATATATGTCCATGTTATGTAGATGTTTCACTTCATTGAGTCTAGCCCTCTCAGATTATAGCAGTGAGCTTGCCAGTCTTCGGGAGAGTTGTTTTAGCATATGTCTAGCATTATTGTCTAGTGCCACTAGTTTATCCACTTCACCCATTGTTTTATTTGGATCTATTAAGTGATGGAGGATTCTGTATTTGTTTTTGTTATAATTTTTGTTTTCACCAATCTATACCGGCGTTTCAGCGTTGTTGCCAAATAAAAAAAAAAAAAAAATTAAAAAAAAAATGAAAGGAAGAAAGAATAACTTACCCTTCTAGCTCTGGGTAGGCATGTATTGAGTTGGATTTCAAGTTCAAATCCAACTGCTCCTACTGTTGCTTCACCACGGTGTGCGGGGGGAGGGGTAGTTTGGAAAGAGAAAATTTGGAATAGTAGAGAAAGAAAGCACAAAAGGTAGATAGAAACACATGAGAGAATAGGGCACAAGACTACCTACATAAGATAACCGAAAACAACTGTGAATCTGATTCGAGCCTGGGTCCGGGCGAAATAAAAAAATTAAAACAAACATGGTTTCAACAAGTTCACATGAAATCCATAAGGTCCCAAAAGATACCAGCGGCATCTCAGGATTTTAATACCACCACCATTTTTTGTTTTAAAAATAAAAACACTCAAACAATGAGAAGAAAAAGAAACAAATTCACCCACATTAAATATTAAGGGACAATACACTACCCAACACCAAGACATAAAACAGCCAAGAATATAATTATATACGTTAATGCAAACCAAATTAAGCAAATGAAAAATTTATGGATTTTTAATAAAAAAAATATTCAGATGGTTTGAAAGACAATTCACCCAAACACCAGAAAATTGTTTAGTGATAGAATAAATTGTCAATTAAAGTTTAATCTAGCACTAAATTGTTTTCTAGTGTTTTGTTGAATTTTCTTTTAAACCATCATAATTAAGCATTTTTTAATAAAACTCACGAACTTCTGAAATCCTTTAATCTAGTTAACATTAAAATAAATATGTTGTAATGCATATAATGATAAGTTATGTAAGTTTGGAATGAACTTATCTTTGTTTTCTGTTTTATAGAGTTAATCAATTTAGCCTGTGAATAGCTAAATTGTATGATCATTATTATTAATTACATTTGTTACTTTATCCTTCCTTAATTGTCGATTTTCTATTCTTCATTCTTCCTCATTTATTCACTTTATTTTCAAAGTTCGCCTTGGTAAGAATTAAAAAAAGTCAATAAAAAAAACACTGAATTTGACTTAGGTTATTATTTTATTTGTTACATCTACTGCTATTAAAGTTAAAGAATATTCAATTCATGGTTCATAATTTGTAACTTTATGATATATAATGCTTATTCAAAAATTTAATCTCTACTCATTAAGTATTTCGAAAGACAAATTTTGTAAATCTTGACTGCTATATTATGTTCCTTAATCAAAAACAAATTACTTCTAATCAGTAAGTAATGTTATATTACATATTAAAATATTTAGGTAAAACATTAAAACCAAATATGAATTATAAAAAAAAGTATTTAGAGATCTATAAAATATACCAACTTTTGGGATCTAATATTTAAATTTTAGAACGTATAAGTAGTAAAAAATTTAAATTTACAAAAATCTTTATACACAAAATTGGCTGTTTTCTTACACAACTTTTTTTCTTCATATGTTCTTCTCTCTTCTTCAATCCATCTTCTTTCTTCTTGTTCATTTTCATTGTGCAAAAAAATCTTCATCTTCAAAAATCATCATCTTGATATTTGTTGTTCCTACTACTTTATATATAAATATGATTGCACAGTCCAGTGACCTCATTAATATAATAAAATGACAAATTCATTACATTGACTTAGTGTTATCATATTAAACAAATTACATCTACTTCTATTAAAGCTATTGAATATAACAAATTTATAACTGAAATTCTACTTTTTTCATTCAACCATGTAAAATTTAATGCTACCAGAAATTATCTTTAATCTTCTTTTATATGAACTGATATTAATAAGTTAATTAAGTTTTTAAATTTCATGATTATAAATGTTAACACCAACACTGAAATTTATCTATAATTATAATTCAATCTTTTATATGCACTGATATTTCTTGTTTAAAACTGCATGCACCAACACTGAAATTTACCTCTATTCGATAAGTATTTTGACTATTACTCATACTACAATTTTGAAATGACATTTAATAACTTTATAATCAAATAAAACAAAAGATTAGAAATGAAACACTGAAAACTATAAGTCACAACAATTATTTTTCACAAAATGTTTTTCCATCAAAAAACGTTACTCCACTCAATAATAATATAAAGAGTAAATTTTTTACATTATTTTTTATTTAATGCACAATAATGATAAAATGCAATAGACTTAAAGTTACACTTAATAAGCATCCAATTTTGCAGATAAAAAATGAAATTATGATGGAAAACGATTATTTTCAGCATTTCAAAATCACATAAAATAAATACATTTTATTAAAATTGAATAACCATGAGTTTAGTGGTGGTCGTTCTGCTCTTCAAAAGTTTCAGGATGCCTGACAGGGCTGTGATAACCATGCCCATAACCATATGGGTAGAGCAAACCGTAGTGCTGATGGTACGGGAATATGTACTGTGGCACCTGTATGATGACTGGCTTAGGGGAAGGGGGAGGGGGTGGAAGCAGGACATGAGGCTTTAAACCATATCCAAAACTGCTAGCGTAACTTCCAAAGGAGCTCGCATAACTGCCAAAAGTGCTCGTGTAGCTCCCGAAACCCCCATAGCTGTGTGTGAAAGATTCGCCCATCGAGTGGCCCAGCACTTGTGGGCTAGGCGCAAGTACTGAGGGTGCTTTTCTCACTTCATCATCCCTTACTGAAAGTAAAACAAATCAATTTATTAAATATGCCTGAAATAAAACTTGTACCCTTTGTTATTGCTGCTTCTTGGGGGACGTATGTTTAAATTGGATAAAGGCTAGCTTTAACGCGTATTTATAATATTCATCGCATGGAATTGTATGTTTTAGAATAATACAAAGTAGTAATAATAATAGATAACAAGATATAACTCACTTTCAATACAGCTTTTTACGTTTATTAATAAAAATTACTAGCAACAACATATTTTTCTCTCAAACCTTCTGCTGTGAAGAGTCCTACAAGCATCTGTTGTAAGTCATGCCTTGGACTTCAGTACCTAGCATGGAAGAAAATACAAAATAAGTGTACAGTTTGGTGTCACATCGCTGATTGGCAGCCTATTTTATTTTAATTTTAAGAAATGGCGAGTTATCAAGATAGACCCCCAATGAGCATTAAGTGTGACACCCAATGAAAACCCAATTTGTATTTTTCCTCTTCAAATGCCAAGTTTTCACACACTTTCCACCAGGGTTGATAAAACATCATTATCCCAAACAGCTTATATTGGGTTTTTCCTCAACCATAAGAGCTGAGATTTAACCAACTTGGTAGGTTTAAAAATAAACAGCAGTAGTAATTCTTTGTTTAATATCCATGCTAATTTTAATTAATATTTGAACAATATTAAAAAAACTTAGCCATGTTAGCATATGAGTGAGTTTTGATAAAATTCATGGCCTTTGATTTTTACTTTCCTATACTTTATTGTAAAACTAAGTTTTTCCAAAAGTAATTTTTCATGAAGAAACTTCTGGTACTGTAAATTAAATAAGCTGCCACATTAAGCTGACATGGTGATCAGTTTTTCCTTTATTGTAGTGCTCTATTTTTTCACACATGTTGAAAATCCTTTTTATTCTTTAAAAAAAATAAATAAATAAATGAGACCAGAACCTCCAAAATTCACCAGTTTTGGTAACTGGTTAAAAAGGAATATAATTTGTGTTGATGGTTAATGTAGCTTTTAACAAAAAATCAATTACATGGTAAATTAAAATTACTGAGTTCTGAAGAAAAATTTCAACATCTCCAAAATGAATAGGTAAATTTTGAAGTTTCTGATATATATATATATATATATATATATATTTATTTATTTATTTTTTTTTTTTAGAGAGAGAGAATAAAAGACTCAAAATCTATGAAAAAATAGGGCATTATATTTGGGAAAAGTTATTCCACCAAGTCGGCTTAATGAGCCAGCTTATTAAAAATTTAATAGCGCCAACTGATTCTACATGAATCATTACTTTTGGAACCATACAATAAAATGTAAAAATAAAAGGCTATGACTGTTATAAAAATTCACAGCATATATATGGCAAGTTCAAAAATACTGAAAAACGATTTGTCAGATGTGCATGGATGGAAAACAATTACTAAAGAAGGTAAATATATACTTTCATTAACCAGTCAAATGTTATGTTAGAGAGGAAAATAATTCGCTTTTGTAATACAACTTCTAAAATTGATAGCATCCTATTTGATTAACACACATTATTTTGTTAATGCTTCGTACAACCCAATTATTTTTGTATAATTTCCAAAACCCAATGTTTCCATCATGCAAGATTTCCCACAATCTCGACCGAAAACCAAGCAATGCCAATTATTAATGTTTTTCTGATCATATGGTACAACATGCCTTTTTTCAGACCTTCACACCAACAATATTTGTAAACAGAATTGACAGATGGTGCTACCCACTAGACGTTTTCCCGCTAAACCGTCTGACATGAAAACCACATTGATTTTGAAATTAATTAATGGCGAGTTATCAAGTTTGGCTTCCAGCCCGACGGTTGGCTCAGTTCACATCAAGTACAAACCCAAAGTGTCAACCCAATTGATTGTTTTCTTGGTGTAAGACTGTCAATAGACAATGTCATAACATTAAAACACAGTAAAACATTAAGGGCCAACATAACTTGTCCAACATGAAAAAATCATGAGAAACTTCTATATCAGAAATCTTTTGAGAATTTCTTTTTATACAATAATTAACATCAACAAAACAAAGGCATTAAGATCAATTAGGAAACTCGTATGTAATCAGTGCACATTTTTCTACTTTCAAAATTAGGGGGAAAAACAGTTGACACAATTTTATGCTTACATATAGACCAAATTACCAGTATATATCGTTTGATAATACCAATTATTAAAGTTGTCTTCCACTTCAGCATACTCCAATCCTCACTGCGATCTATCTGAAACTTTCCTTGTCCTCACAAACTAATTTATACATTGGTTAAAAAAAAAAAAAACCTTGCTTTAATTATATCACATGAAAATATTTTGCTACTTTGAAGCGATGTACGATCATTGCATTCTCAGACTACTCAATGCTTTGTAGGAACATAGTAATTACCAGTATTTTTTTAATTACACTTTACTTAATACATTAACTACCAAGGTGCTCTAAAGGAACAAACTTTTTTTATTAATAAGCATAGGTTAAGAGTTTTCAGGTAAAATTAGTTTGTAAAGCCAAAGCTCAAGCCTGAATAAAGAAAAGAATAATTAAGGAGAAAAATATATGCAATAATGGAAATATTGAAGAGACTTTGCATTGCATTTTTTACTATCACACTTGTCAATAATGCTCTTACACATATCTGAACATTCTCCCAAATGCCACAATTTGTTTTTTCAAGATGCTAAGTGTATAAATTACTAAGTGCAAGCAATAACAAGTTCTTAAGTGTTAGTAATAGAGTAGTTTTCAGACAACCATTTTGCAATATATACCATACCAAGATCCAGATTATTCATCGCTTATAGTTATTATAGGGGACATATATAATATTATCAAAAGCTTGACAAAGGAACTTTGTTTGTTTTTTCTAGTTTGCCTCATCGATGAGTGTCCTTTAACTCGTGTAACATTCATGATTTTGAAAGGAGGGGCATTCCAAGGAGACTTGTGTTATTCCAGAACATCAAAGTGTGCGTTCACTATTTACGGTGTACTAGTACCAAAAGTGTTAATATAAAATTACAACATAAAAGGCTGATCGCCTTTTTTGATATATCAAATATGCCTGTTAATGATGGAAAAACCATTTTTTCCCAATTAAAAAGGAAACTTTTGAATATCGCATTTCCAAGTGATTTACAGATCGACTTCCCCAATGCTCAAATACCTCTACCGGTGAGTTCTTTACAGGCTGGTTCGATCCTCACAGCACAATCATTGATACCACTTCATCTTGCCATACTGGAAAACCTGATCAAAAGTTAAATGTGTGATTTCCACTTGTTTTAAACAATCTTTATTTTTTAATCTACACAATTATTTTCATAGAACATCTTTCCTGTTCGCGATTGAAATTCTGAAATGCGTTTCCACAAGCAGTATGAGAAAAGCGAACAAGGAAGTTGCCAGCAGTAGAATCATTATTATAAACTAAAAAATAATAAGTTGATAATGCTTTATGTTAAAAGGAAGTAACTTTAATAGGAAAAATTACAAAAACAAGAAAAACTATTGTTTTTGTACCTTTTTCCTGGAATGGGTTCCCAGTGATAAATTAGACCTTGACAAGCGGTTGGAAGTTCATCTAGGGACTACGGATCATGTCCGTGGCATTTTCCATTTCTCATTATTTCGCTCTGAAACGATATTTTAAAAAACACTCGTGAATTTTTAGAACGACGGGTAAGTTCAAGACTTGTCGATTCTAATAACGACTTTAAGGTTACTTACATTGGGCCTCGTGCTTAACCGGACTTCTGGGTTTTCCGCTTTCTCCACGGTCCTGAACATTGCAGTTGTACAACGATGGCTGCGAAAACTGAGGACGACAGCTCCCAGGTAAATGCATGTTGTTGCATGCAATAAGCATAAACCAACCTTGGGGAATGACAGAAGGACGGCCGCATGTCTGTTGTCTGCACTTTGCAACACTAGTGCCAGTTGCTAGCGGTTGAGACGGTGGACGTTTTTGCAACTATCTACGGCCAGCAACAGGGGCGCCCACGCAGCTCGCGAGGTTGAATACTCGATCCACAGCAATCTGAAATACACAGATCAACATACATATACATACACAATACATCACACTTAAATTTTAATGTATTTAGGTTTATTTCATATTTTTCATACAAAAAAATGCTCAAAAATGAATAGAGATATTTATAATTTATTCTTATTTTAATAATTTTAATTAAATTAACCGATATATTCTTGCTAGCTGGATAAAACAAACTAGAAAATACAAACAAAAAACAAACACACGTTAATCCTCATTTTTAATAGCGGATTTATTTAAGAATAGTAAACATGAAGATTACTCATTTTGTAAACAAACAATTCATCACCAATTTAATCCAGTTGCATTTTCGCATGGATTATAATCCGTTTGCCGAAGGTCGTTGTTATAGAAAAATAATAATAAAAGAGAAAACAATAAAATAAAGATAAATAGAACAACGGGAGGTTTTAATATCATTCGCCTTATCCAAGAACACACACACACACAAATATGTTAAAAATACTTATAATAAAAAATATATTTGTTTGGATCGGGGATGTGGTCCAATGAATATTCTTGTGTTGAAAATACGCCAAGTTTTCGGTGTTTTATTTCACCTTCCTCAGGGCTCTACAACGGATATAACTATTATCACAGACAAAATCATAACGAATTACAAACGATTATCACACACAAAACCAGACTGTATTTTACAAACTGCTATCACAGGCAAAATTAGAACGTATTTTACAAACTATTATCAGAGACAAAATCAGAACCTATCTACAAACTATTATCACAGACAGAACAGACAGAATCAGAACGTATTAAACTATTATCAGGCAAAATGGGAACGTATTTTCAGACTATTATCACAGACAAAATCAGAACGTATTTTACAAATATTATCACAGGCAAAATCAGAACGTATTTTCAGATTATTATCACAGGCAAAATCAGAACGTATTTTCAGATTATTATCACAGGCAAAATCAGACTGTATTTCACAAACTATTATCACAGACAAAATCAGAACCTATCTACAAACTATTATCACAGACAAAATCATAACGAATTACAAACGATTATCACACACAAAACCAGAATGTATTTTACAAACTGTTATCACAGACTAAACAGAACGTATTTTACAAACTATTATCACAGACAGAACAGACAGAATCAGAACGTATTACAAACTATTATCAGGCAAAATGGGAACGTATTTTCAGACTATTATCACAGACAAGATCAGAACTTATTACAAACTTTCATCACAGACAAAATCAGAACCTATTTACAAACTATTATCACAGACAAAATCAGAACTTATTACAAACTTTTACCACAGACAAAATCATAACGTATTACAAACTTTTATCTCAGACCAAATCAGAACTATTTACAAACTATTATCACAGTCAAAATAAGAACGTATCTTTGCAATAAGTGCCATTTATTTATTTGTTTATTAAAACATTGTACTTAGTGACAAAAAGAAAGAAAAAATTCTATATATGTTGATAAAAGAAAACAAATTTAAACGCTGACAGAGAATCTGTAAGTTGTAAAAACAAGTTGATTTTTAAATTTTCTTACACAGATGAGCAATTATAAAATGTTATATATGTAGTAAACAATTTTATGACCTAGTATAATAAAACAAATATTGGGTTTTTTGAATTGTTTCGTTATCGATAAATTTTGATATCTTTTACTATAATGTTGATTGCAAATTGATAAAAAGTTTGTGATAATATATCCACATAGTTCACAATCAGATAATCCGATAACGATTTCATAAAAATCGGAAAAAAATTATAGGGGTCAAAAAATCGATAAATTTAAATTCAAATAAAAATATATATTTAGGGGTCTCAAGAGGTGCTAAAACAAAATTTCGCATTAGTTTTACGACAAAAAATTTTATGACCTAGTATAATAAAATATTGGGTTTTTGAATTGTTTGGTTATCGATAAATTTTGATATCTTTTACTATATGTTGATTGCAAACTAAGTAAAAAGTTTGTGATGATATATTCACATAGTTCATTTGAGAAAGTGGAACGGCGAAATAAAAATATTAAAAAAGTGCCTATTCGCAAGAAGTGGCGGATACGCGTCGATATTTTGGAGTGTAGAATCATCAAAAAAGTTTGGTTCAAATCCTTAATACCAACCTAGTCCTCTCCTTGTAAGTTAGCATTCAACGGTTTTTCACTAAATAAATTTCCTTTTTTTTAATTACAAAAATTCTGATGGAGTCGAATTGACCCCGAAACGAAAAATAAAAGTAGTTGACAAATAAATTTTTTTAGCACTGCCTAAAAATCAAAATGATTCATGCAGGAAACAAAACAAATAGTGTTCATTAAAAACGAAACCCATCGATACAAATCAAATAATAATGATTTTTAATAATAAGATTCCCGTGTTCTTTTATAACCTCCAACCTAGAATCGTTACTTAAATACTTAGTTACTTGAAAACCTAGTTACTTAACTACCAAATACATTATCAAATAAACCCACATGCGATGTGGATCAAACACGAATGGACAAATTTTTAATGAAATTTTGAAGGTGTACCAGATTTCTCCAACACCAGCGTATGTCAGCATTCCAGAATGTCTACTCACATTTTCCCTTCTTTTTCTTAGTTTCTTCATTCGACACAGCTAAAACCAAACCTACTTATTTATTAATTCACTTATTTATCGATTTTTTTAAAGTCGGAAATTATCACTATGCGCGTCTTTTAGACTTCTCACTTGAAAAACGTTGATTTGGCAATGCAGAGCGTCGAACCGGAAAGTCTTTCTAGTTCGTATTCGCACCACAGCCAACATTATAGACAGCTTGGAACATCAAGGATTATTGATTGTTGCTAGAATGTAGCTCAACTCAATTATCGCAATACATTCTCGATGAATCAGAACTCTTTTTTCGGCGAGATTGATTTCTGTATCGAAATCGAATAACAACGCAGTTTAAAAGTTTAAACCATCATGTGCCTCACCAGCCGGTTAAAAAAATTTTTGATTCTCTAATTCGGCTAGAATTAACCCCAAACATTGAGATAGAAGTAAGCTTATTTTTTGAGTGGGAAAAATGAGGAATTCAAGGGAAATAATCCTCGGGGAGAGATTCAGTAGTCGTGGCGGCCATGGAAGAGCAATAAAAAGTTTATGTATTGAACGGGCCAGGATTCCGACGCATGTGAAGTTTGTTGGACCCAAGTCGTTAAAATCACCTAGGCAGAGTAGCGGGGGAATCGCCGTTGCTATCTTTGTCAAAACATACAAAATGATTAAATGTATAAAATAAACTACAAACAATTAGTGAACGATTATTTTTGAGGTGTAAAAGGTTTAAGACAAACTTATTTTTTTAATCCTTCCTTGGTGTAAAATGTATGAAATAATCTAATAACTTTTAAACTTTGGAGATAAAAACAAGCAAAAATAAATTTTCCAGTAACCTACTAACATTTATCACTGAAACTTACACAATAGTTTTAGAAATTTGCTCGAAGGGTAATTAATTCGTTTTTTTTTTATCATTTTGACGTTGTTGGTACAGTTAATCTGATTTGTTACTGCATAACGAAATGTAGAAAATTTAACTATTCATAACATATACCTACGAAAAAATATCACATTTTGGTTTTGTGACACCACACAACACACATTGAAAAATTTGCTGAATATACAGAGATTTATCCCATTAATAAATAAATGAACCTTTCAGCGCTGAAACAAATATCTACTTATTTTTAATTTCTTGTTATTTTATTTCCTCCTGCTATTATTTAATTTATGCAAGTCAAATCTCTTAAAAAAATTAGTCATTTTTAAGATCATAATTAAATTAAATGAGTCATCCATTAAAAATAAAATCCTTATATTTATCATTAGTAGATTTTTTTTTCAAATATTCTACTTTCTGTCTTGAACGTGGTAAACCTATACACCTTTTTAGGCGGCCCGGCTGAATTTCTTTTGCACTAATTCTTGGGATAAAAACTACGAAAAACAAATCTTTACAAAAAAAAAATGATAAAAGAACAAGTTTTTATTTTTAATAACAGGTTTTTTCAAAATTCTATAGTTAGAGGATAAGTACTCTTCTCCAGGTTTACCCACAATCAACGAGCATTTAAAATTTCCTGATGTCAATCTTGCTGCTTTTCAAAATACATTTACATACATTTCAAAATACAAGGAAATACATTTCAGTTTTTAGAAGAGAAAACTGTTCAATGCTCTTAAACATGAAACAAAGATACAAAGTTTTATTGTGTTAAGTAAACAAAATACAAGTTTTGTCATTGTATTCGTCCAGAATAGTACAAATTAATTCATTTTTTTCCCGCTATTAACGTACATGAAATACATGAAAAAACTCCTCAAAGCCATAAAAGGCGTTAACAGTGAAGAATTTTGTTATTTTAAGTTTACATTTTTTTCAGGTAACAATTTGACATCATCTGATAGATTATTAAAAAATTGTATAGCCCAATATTTACAAGATTTTTAACAATCTTTTAAGGCTTAGCCGCTCAGGAATTGTTTTATTCCAGTTTCTCGATAGTGTTTTATGTACAGGATTAAATTTTTTTAAAGTCTCACTTTGTTTGTAACAATACATTACACTTTGTGAGATATATAAACTGGGCAAAGTCATAATGTTTAATTTAGTAAATATTTCTCTGCAACACTCCCTATACTTTAAATACACATGAGCTTTCGTATAATATTTTTGATTTTTTACAGCATGTGCTTTAGAGATTAAATTTGACAAACGTACAATTAATTTAAAGAATGGTGATTTTATCTCGTTAGAATCTCATTATAAATACAGCTAAACCGATAATTTCAAGGCTATCTATATTTAATAGACTTACATTTCTTAGGACTGTTTCAGAATTTTACCAGTTACCAAAATCATTAAAAAAATTATACATATCAAAAATTCAATATACATGAAAAAGACATTAACGGATTATAAAAATAATCTAAATTTTTACGTACCAATGAAATGAGTATATCATAGTCATACGTAATAATGCCGATTGAGATATCCAAAAGCCAGATTGGATTGTTTTGCTTCTCAAATTAAAAAACTTTCCATATCCCAAAAGAATGGAATTCAAGTTAAAAAAAACTTTCTTAAAAAAATAGAAAAGATAAAATTAATAAATGCACCCAAATCACTTTTACGTTGTGTTCAAAGAAATTTATATTTTACCATTTATTCAAAATTTAATTATGTCACTTTGTAGACATATTTATTTTTGCTTTGCTTTGATAATGACCATAAAGTAGATAGAAAGCTTGGCAGAATTGAATCAATTTTTTTAACTATTCGGCCGTACCGAGATTTTTATTAGTCTGAGTAAAAAAGTGGTCTTATATGTAACACATTAATCGAAAAACAGACTTGCCCAAGACCATATAGTAACAACAAAGAATTACCGATACCCTCACAAGTGGTATGTTTAGGACTATCCCTAGTCATCAGAAATCCCCTCACGAAACTTAACTGTACAGAAGAAAACCTAGACAACTGGAAAGAATGATTAGACCAAATTCAAATATGATTGTAACAAACAAACTAAAGCTCTACAAACCAATATTAACTAATACCTACTAATTAACCTATTTGGACGTACGGACTAGAACTGTCCGGCGCCACGAAACAATCCAATATTTTACCCATCAAACCATTCCAGGCAAAGATTATCAGAAGAATTCTTCACCCTTCTAAGTCAAATATTGATATATGTGCAAAGGCTTGTTTCTGCTGCTCGGAGTCTAACTGCCTCCGGGGACTGCAGTATCTAATCAGCAGTTCCACCATCATTCTAGTCCCAACTTGTCCTAGGTTACTAGGGTTTAATAGTTTTGGAGTTAGTTTGTGCGATGGTCTTTTAAAGAACTTTCTCGCACGCTTCTGTCTAACTAGATATATCGAAACGTCATCAACAAATTTGGTCATCATCTAAAATACAACATGTAGGTAAAATACATTTTAAAAAATTTTGTTTCGACGAATATGATATGTAAATATTTAAAAAATAAACATTATTTTTAAATTAATTAAGCTCGAAGTTCGAATCCCGCTCGTTACACTGACTTTTTTATCTCAACTAAAAACCTTAATTAATTGAAAGTTATTAATTGGTCAAGCGGACCACTAAAACTAGTGGAATTATTTTTAAATAACATTTTCATGATGATTGGATATTTTTTGGAGTTTTGAATGTGGGCAGTAAAACGTCTCCATCATTTTGCAATTCTTTATTTTATAATGACTCCCATAAAGTACATTTTCTAAGCTAATTAGAACACATAGAAAATTATAATGCTTATAGTAAAGAAGAGATGAGATCAAGCAGATTTTTAATTAAAACAAAGTCAATAAGTTACTGCTTAAATATTTTATATCACTAAAAGTACACAATAATACAAGTGAAACGATCCTAGTTGATTGTAAACAAGGGTGAATTTCTTTGAAAGGTTTATCACACATTATTAATAAAATAATATAATTATATGAGGCTTGATGTCGCTGTAAACAAAACCGTATAAGATTTTCAAAAAATTAATCTAGGTTGAGTAGGCCAGGACTAGTTTTTCTATAAGTTTAACAGTTGTTTAGAAAGTTGAATAACTAACAAACATGTTATAGATTCATGATCATTTACAAAATCACCTACGGTACGTTTTGGGGGACTTAGTAAAATATTTTTTCAAATCAGATTTAGCCCCGGTTTTAGTGATGATGATAATAATCGTGGCCGTCGTGGGCATCGTAGTAGCCTCCTCCGAGAAATTCGTGACCGTAGTATCCATGTCCCTGGTCGTACGGGTAAAGGTAGCCGTACGGGATGTGGTTGTAGTAGTACGGTACGACGTACTGCGGTACGTGGATCACAACCGGCTCCGGCGGCGGCGGGGGAGGAAGGATGATCGGCTTCGTATCGTAACCATACGCGGGGGCGTACGCACCAAAGCCGCCATAACCGTGCGGGAAGGATTCACCGGTGGCATGTCCTATCCCGTGAGGCCCGTGGGCGATTCCGTAGCCGTATCTCCAGCCTTCTCCACTCACTAAAACAAAAAAAATAACATTAGCATATTCTAATCGTTTCACTAAACAAATTGCGTATGCAAAGCCTCTGCTGGGTCCCAGGACATGTGGGAGTAGAAGGCCGTTGCAAGAAAGCGGATGTTGTTGCAAGAAGAAGGGCTGCTATACTGCTAATATGACCCGTGCCCTTCTGTGTCATAGGAACGCACACTGTCAATGAGCACCTCAGACAGAAGGATAAAAAGAAAATGAGGAAACAATGGAACTCACTAATTGGACACAAACAATCTACGAACCACCTATCAAACTTTGAAAGGAAAGAACAGAATGTATTAAATGAGGCAGGAAAAAGCATCCTGACAGGATTCTTAACAAGATACAGCAAACTAAATGGACATCTGAATAAGACTGGCATAACCCAACATGGCACGCGCAGATTCTGCAATGAATCAGAGGAAATACTAACACACCTACTATTAAACTGTGGTGCTACACTTGCCTGCAGAAGGATGTGTTTTGAGATATACAACGTAGATGAGATCCAACCACTAAAACAGGGCCTACTAATCAATCAAGTTATTTGGTGAACTTGAACATACCTGTGTACTTTAAGCATAGAACGCGGGATACATTAGCTCTTAAAGGGCGCAGTACAATACACAACCCGACTAATACCATTTCTACTTTTCTATACGTTTATTTTTGCACTTTAAACATGAAGGCATTCTCAACTTTTGACCCATATTGATGAAATTGAATGCTGCTCAACTATAGTATATCAGCGTATAAAATCTTCACGTCCCTCATATAGAATTGGGTTCAAAAGAAAATAATGATGATTTGGAGATGGTGAGATGCGGTCTGGTGTGACTTTCAGGGCTCAAAGTGATTGTTTTCTGTTTGTGTGTCAAATGTGTCATTCTTCCGTGACATGTTGAGAGAGGGGCACTCTCAACACGACACACAAGACTGACACAACTACACAGAAAACAAACACTTTGAGCCCTGAAAATGATCTCAATAAAATCGAAACGTTGGCTCGATAAAGAAAATATTTTTCTAAACCCATATCACACCAGACCGCATCTCACGATCTTCAAATAATCATTAACTAACGATCACTAAACACCACACAATTTCTACAAGAAAAGAAAATTTTTAACTTTTCCTTTTTTTTTTAAATTGAATTAAAGTGTAAATTAATTAAAGTAAGCAGCGATAACAAGACCGTGCTTCAAAAAACACTATCATACGAACATGGTGTCACAATCAATTAGTTAATCAGCTCTTTCACAAGTTAGAGAAAGTGAAATGTCATGGAACGAAGTTCTGCAGGTGTTCACCTCTCAACTTTATCACAAATGCCTCCTTGAAAATCCAAGTGAATAAACCTAAAAAATAAAAATGTAATTTCGTCCTGTCCGATCATGGTTTAGCCGATCAGACATTGACTCATAAGAAACCCACCATTAAAGATGGTAATGTCCATCACCTCGATGACCTCATCAAAATACCACATAACTCAAAAAATGGATAGCTACGGAAACAATAGAACGAGGAACAGTGGCCACAAAACGAATTTAAATTAGAAAGACGATTGGAATTGTTAAAGGAAATGTTTAATTTGTTAATAAGTATGAATTCCACAAGGGCGTTCTCTCAGTTGACCTTTATTTGGGTAATTATCTACTTACGAGGTTGTGAAAATCCCGGTAATACCTAGTAGTAACCCTTTTTGGAACACGAGTCCATCCGCACATTTCCGAACACTAAAGGAAGAAACTAACAAATTTTTTTTAAAATTTTAGATTTTGTTTAGTCAATTTTAAGGCCGGCAATTCCGAACATTGGTCATCACCAGCACCCTCTTTCTTAGCTTCGCTTTTCTTTTCTTATCTTTCTCGCGTTTTATGTCTATTAATTTATTTTATTGCTTCACCAACCAATCTTCTCTTTTTTTATCCTATTGCTACCCTCGCTATACCGCGCTTCGTCAATTGTGAATACACAAATAACAAACACAAATGCACAGAAACACATAAACAAGAAAAAACATGATCACCTGGTTAGCATTCACCACCTCAGAGTACTTAATATTTCTCGGGGTAATTGGAAATATACCTCTCCATTCAAGCTAATAAATTACATTTACACCCTAGAATACATTCACACTATTCCAGAGCACTCGATATTCCTCGGGGTAACTGGGGATAAACCCTGCCATTCACGCTAATAAATTACATACACACAAATCGTTCACCCTACCCTTGAATATTCGATATTCCTCGGTATAGTTAGGGGAATAAGCCCCTCAATTCAAGAAAATAAATACATTCTTTGCAATAAATAACACATTCATAACATATATCCTACTAAAAATATTTATGGCTCAGAAATATTGGAACAGCGATCTGTGTCTGCTGAAGTGCCTCAAGGGTGCGCTTATCTCAACAAATTTAATTAATTACTATATTTTACTACACTTCAATAGCTTTATGACGTGCGTAAAGTTTATACTTTTTGGTCTATTATATTATTACGTAATTCACGTCTTTGTGACCAACAACTTGTAAAATAAATGTCTCGTGAGCAGTAAATGTTAATTAATGTAAATAAACATGTAAAATATTGTCAGCAATGAAAATTCATTTTCCCTACCCCCAGAGTACTAAATATTCTTTGGCGTAATTGGGGATAAACCATGCATTCACGCTAATAAATTACATGCCCATACCACTTAACATTCACACTACCCTAGAATACTCGATATTCCAATGATAATTTTTCAATTTTAATTCAACTTTTCCTTCCTATTCAATTTATTGTAATATTCATTATATTAATTGCGTTCGAATTAAGGTACTAATTATCGTGGAGGCATACTTCGGATAAAAATGAAGATTTTAGTCTTCAATACAAACAGAAAACTAAGGCAGGACAGGCAAAAAAATGTAATAATTAATATACTCAAAGGAAAAATAACGTTGGACATAAAAAAAACTAAGATAACTAAAAGGATGGATAACTGGAGTCAAACGTATAAATACAACGAGCCTTTTTTTTTTTATCTGCTTGATGTTATATAGTATACTGTTAGTGTTTAAAAAAACGGTATAAATGAAACAAAATAGCTTTAGATTTGTCCTGGTGAAAAATAACTTATTGTACAATGTTCAAACAAAATTAAGACAATTTCCCAGCGGTTTTTGATTAAATATTTCTCACGGAAAATGTTCTCAGCCGTCTGAGGAAACCTGGAGTAACAGAAAGGATGTTAATATCTTTTTTAAATATAATACCTCTGAGGTGAGAAAGATTGGAGAAATAATGCATTTTACTTATAAAAGATCTCTCAAGCATCCAATATACTCTCACATTATTAACTCCATTATATTTAGTGGTCTGATCTGAGTCACCATAGCTCAAGTGGTTAGAACAGCGGCATATTGAGCCGAAGGTCGTGGGTTCGAATCCGCTCGTGACACAACTTTTTCATTTCAACCAAAACTTTACATAAAAGAGATTAATTAATCTGTCATTGTTCTTTTGCACATTCGTAATTGGGTTGTTCACCCGTCACAATTTATCAAAGCAAGAGGAAAACCATAAGGATCTTTATTGACGTCGTACCATGAATAAGTTTAATAACATTCGAAAGAGGAAATTTAATAAAATTCAAATACAAGAGATTTTAAATTCTCTTTTAACTTAAAAACTTTAAAAAATATATATGTTAATTCTAAAATGTAAGCCATTTATTATATGTCAGACAACAGATCTTTTTAATCTCTAAGAAAACAACTTCCTTAGATATTAATAATATTCGTACGATATTTTTACAACCATTTAAAATTCAATTAATCCCTGAATTATAATCGTATTGAGATAGCAAAATGGAAAATATTGTGCTAAACAAAAGAATGTTCGAACTCAGAAACACCTCAGCGAAGTTAAAACAATTTCATCCTATTAGCATGACATCAATGAAGGATAATTATGATTTCAATAATTAGTTGTTCAAAGTTCTACATAGTTCTACATAAATAAAATACACATAATAAATTATATAAAAATACAGGAGAGGATGCTAAGTTCATTCATCCTTTCTTATATCCAAAATTATAGCAATGTATTGCTTTTGAAAATGGGCTCACGAATTTGGATGTGTTTTCAAGTTTTCAGAAGATATTTATATTAAGAAAATAATAATGACTGCCCAGGTTTAAATTTAATCTTTCTAAGTCGAATTAGGGAAGATATAGCTTCGTTGATGTGTAGAGAGAAATCTTTCAGCCATCAAAGACGGTGATTATACATTGGGTTAAAAGTCAAAACAAAACTGGAGATGCCTTTGGGAAGGAAGCCATTTTATAGTGTACACCATGACAATAAATAAAGCAGACGTTAACATTTTCACAACCAAATTATAAAAACTACAACTCAGCAAAAACTAGAAATAACTATCAACCTTTATAAGCAAAGCTTAAAGTTACTTGAAGAAAAAACATGATTTATTGATTTATATTCCATATCTTTAGGCTGAAAATTACCTATGACCTTTGAGGAAGATATATGTATAGTATTTGGTAAATGATCTCCCCAACAAGTGTTGTCCATGAAATTCCTGTCATGTAGTACAGGTACGCCCAGAAATTTAAAACGAGAAGAAATGACTTATCGAAAATCTGTACAATGCTCAGAGAATATACAATTTATTTCATTTTCAGGTATTTCATCGGAATCTCGTCTTTTGCATATACATAGTTCAGCATTTCTCGTATTCAGTTTTTCTGGATAATGAATGATAACCAAAAAATTGTGAACCTGTTCCTTGCAGTATATTGGTGTTTCAACAATTCAATTAGTAATAACTTTCAAACAAAATCTGTTTTATTTCTACCTGGCAATATTAAGAAGGATTAAGCTTTGATTTTTATGGTCATTCATATTTTATTGTCTTTGTTGATATACCAACCGAGTTTATAGAACTACAATACAAGTTTTTTCTTTTTTCTTTTCTTGTATTATTATCAGTTAATTCCCGACCGACTGACTGTTATACATACTGTTTTTTGGTAACATATATTTTTTATGTATAATCGCAAAAATCATTAAAATATATTATCTAGTTATTTTATCAAAATGATGTAAACAAGTACAAATCGGGAGGTAAACCGATGAATAGGCTTTCTGTAAATGCTTTAAAAATATTCTTGAAAGCATACCGCCCACCAATATTGAGTGAATTTAGTTTCGGAATATTTTTTTATTAAATTTGAATTTTATTTGTCATTTATAGTAATCATACATATTGATAAAAAGAGAAAAATAACAAGATAATGAAGGTATAAGATATTTGTACGATTCAAACCATGGAGTACTAAAACTTGGCTGGATATAGTTTGGAAAAGTTAAACCTCTGCAATTGATATATATCTATATATATGGACTTACCTACAGATTGATGACTAGTTGCTACCCCATGTCCTCGAACTTCCAAAATGCAGCCCAAAAGGATTAAAGTGCACAATCGGCTGAGAGGCCAACGTTTCCGATTTGCCGAAAAAAAGCGGCACTTGGAATTGTAACGGCCGCAATTTACTTCGCTCGTCGCAGAGTTTCCTACGTTCGGCACCATCGTTTGTCACTTGACTGGCTTTCCGTGTCGACTTTCCTCTACTTTATACCAACCCTAAACCGTGGAATCTGACCGCTTCTCAACCTTGTCGGAACATCGGGGAAAAGGCAGAGAAATCCAATGACACCCAGATCCGCAATGCCATCGTTTCAACGCTCCTCGGTTCTAGGGGTCGACCCAGAACGTCCCGGTCTTCTGCAGAGCACTTGGGCCGTTGAAGGCCGACAGCCCGATCTTTCACGTTTACTTTTTCGGTCCATTATCACATTACACCTTTCACAAACATTGACATTATTTCCTTCAGGATAATTCTTCCTCCTAGTACCTCATTCGTTTACAATACTGGATTACTTGTAGAATTGTAAAATAAGGGTCATTACCAACACAAGTACACTGTACCTACTCTTTATCAATGTTGGTAGATAAATAAATAGTACAGTTTATGACAGTATCGGGCCAGCCAATTCCAGCTTCCATCCAGCAATTTGACGTAAAAATCCGATGATTTGCCTTTCTTAAAAAATCTGCGAAACTCAGATGAAATGGCATGCTAAGGTATAAACTAAAAGCTGTCTTTTCACATTGCGTGCGTAGTGAGCACTTATTGCGATTAAGACGTGCAGCGTTTCGACCACTTCCTCACCACCTTTACCAAACGAGAGAATTTTGTCCAGTTTAATTCTATACCGTTATCAGAGTTCATAGATAGCTTCCTTCATGTAGACACTCACCTACTTTTCAAAGCCTCAATTGCCAATATTTCTGTACGTCGATTTGGATCCATTTTCAAATTCAATATATAAGTTAGATTTTGTTAATATAAAGAAAAAAGTTGCACTTAAACTAGTTTCTAAGAGGATAATGAAAGAAGCCGAATAAGGAGGAAGCAAATTCAATTTCAAAAACAAAACAAAACCAAACATAATAATATCTCGATTTCATCAAAGTATTCAAATCCGCAGAATTGACTTACGTAAATAATTATAAATCTGTTGACTACAAGAAAGATCTTAAGTTTACTTCGCCCAGGGATTCTAGTGTTCTTTATGATGTCGTGCAACATCTAATAAAAGCCTTGCTTTGCCAACTGCCTAGATAACGGAACTCACTTACAAGTCAAAATACCCACAGATTTCTTATCAGATGACTATTTCTCATTACATTCCTTCTACTTTCCAAAAAATCATAATCTTTGATTTCATGGATTCACCTTCAAATCCTATGTTTTTCAGTAGGTTTCCGAGTTTTAAAATGTTGGTAATAAACATAAAATGCATGGTCTTTGTCTCATAGTATGTTTCGTTTGGCTTTGAACCCCTTTTGTGGCATACCGAACTGCCAAAAACGTGGATCCATTATACAATGAGTAAGACATAAGTCTTCTGTTCAATGGAAATATAGTCCTGGACAGAGATAGCGAAAAATTTAATCAGAGGACCATCGCAGAAACTAATCGCAAAACTACTAAATGTAGTACGTGTTAGGACTATAATAATCGTTTGATTACTGACAGCGTACTAATTTCTGAAGTCATAAGTATAGACCAGGAACGGCAGATACAAGCCTGGGCAGATATTGCCAGGAAGAAGAGCTCGTGGAACGTGTCCTCCATTGGTACGAAGGTTTATTTAAGCTAAGATTCCTATTCCTGGGAGAGGTAAGCCCGGGCTAGAAGGACACAATCAGGAATTCTTGAAAAAGCGTTGGGAAAAAGCCTTAAACATTATGAGGAGCTCTAAAGAACAATGGTAGCGGTGCACAGGTCGTAAAGAGGCCGGCTCCTAACCTAATCTAATCAAGTTAGGGGTAGGTCAGATAGGGTTAGTTTTAGAGATAGGGGCGAGTGAGGTTAAATAGGGTTACATTTAAGGCTAAAGTTAAGGTTAGGAATGGGCTAGGTTACACTTCCACGATGTATTGTTTTTGTAGCGAAGAAAATATACAAATTCGGGTATTAAATTAAAGTAGCAGTAAACTAATCGTTTCATCAGAACTAGCCTGCAGCTCGAGGTTCTACATATTTCAACAATAATCTATGAACTCAAAAATTCGAAACTACCGTCAAAAAACATTTGCATTTTGTAAAATTTCTATATCGCTTTAGACTTTATCTATGTTACCGGACTTAAAAACTTTGACAAGGCGTATATATTGCCCGCGGTTCGATGAGATCAAAAAGTACGTCGTGCGACGACGATCTGGCATTGTTTATGAATAGATAAACAGTTTTGCCATTTAAAAATTATTATTATTAACTGTTGTGTTCTTATGTTCAATGTTGTACCAAAGAGTTATTTTTGTTTAAATTGTATTACTTTCATTGTTTTTTAAAAGAAATTTAAAAATCTTATGAGTAATTTTTTAAACCATTTGTAACCGGAAAATCAATATTCTAACAATTAAATGTTAATTTTACACTGGTGATAACTGATCTTTAAAGAAATTAAGTAAATGTGTTTAAAGCTCATTACAGAGTCAACTTTTCTGTACGCGTCATATTTGTCACTATGCACAGAAATATGAAAATCTTGATTAAATTTTAGACAAGAACGTTAGAAAGTCATAAAAGAACGTTGAAGATAGACGAAATGTGAAATATATCGAATACAATTGAGAATCAGACTTTAGAGACAATAGAGACTTATTAGTCCAATTTGCAGGATAACCTCATGCACGGGTCACCCTGTATACACTAAGAAAAACGTATAAAACGTTGGCTTGGATTTTGTTAAAAAAAATCATCATTACATTTTTTATTTGTCAATAGACAAAGCATTGAAAACCATTGTAATTTAAAAAATAAAAAATGCGAACCACTGATAAGTTTGGATTGTACATTTTTGCCAACTGATTTAACCCAATTTTGATACAAAATTTCTTAGAAAACAGACAGACCTGAGATGGCCTGTAGTGTTAAAACTGTTTCATATCTATTTATAAGTCTAGTGAAGGGCACTGTTTCGTTCAAGTTTCGTCTAATTTCGGTTTTTCTTGACAGGCTCGTTTAAGCTATCGGATGAATCATTAAACATTAATCAATTATATTAATAACCGTAAGAGAAAATATTATAGTAGAACAATTCCGAATTGCAATAGAACACCAGCAGCCCCCCCCCCAAAAAAAAAACGTTTAATATCAATATAGATGTAGAAAATAAATAATTCTGACATATCTTACAGATAATTTTTACTTAAAATGAACCATACATAAGTTAATGATATCCGCACTGTAAACATGAATTTAACTCTCAGTATAAATCTAATTCCCAACATATTAATAGTATTTTATTACATTTTTGTAAACGTATAAATTATTTAATTAAGATTTGTGCTTGAAAAAGATAAATAAATATCTTATCCTTTTATTTATTTTTTGACAACAATCGAACATACGTTAATTTGTATAAATTGTTTGATTTCATAAGTTTGCAATATTTACCGAGATAATTTTGAAATTTTATCAGTGATTGACGTTTGGCTTTCATTTTTGTAATTAGTAAATAATATTTATACAGTTTTTGTTTTAACTACTGTGCTTTTATTTGATTGTAATTTAAGCATCTGGCGAAATTATTTAAGAAATTATAATCATTGAATTAATTTTACTAGGTCTGGCCTTTTCTTCGTAAATTAAACGGGACGAAGAGGGTCTTTCATAGAACGGCACACATGATTTTACGATTTTGAAAATACTTATCTCCGCCCGCTCATAAAACTTGCTTGGAATGTCCATGTGAAAGAGTCGCATTTCATTTTATGTCAACCTTGGCTCAACCCAGACCTCTCTGCCTTTGCAAAACTAATATTTAAAACAAAAATCTTTGTTTCTAACAAATAATCATAATCAACATAATTCATTCGATCAATTTATATTTACCAATGAAGTTAACATATTCTGAAAATTAACCAAGTATGTAATAAAAATAAAAGAGAGAACATGGTCAGAATTTTAGAACATATTACTTATTAACTTGTAATTTTGTATTGAATTCAGGGTTGGTAATGTTCAAACGGCTTAATTGTAGATTCTAACTTAACGAAAAAACTAGGGACGAGTATCAGGATTGACCAGAGTTAAGCATTTTCCAACACAACACTCAGCATAAATTTTAAAAGCAGCCGATGTAAACATTGTTGCCGATAGTCTACAACCTCCCACTTATCAACAAAAAAAAAAACTTGGAATGTTTTGATAAAGTTCATATTTTACTATCTAGCAACGTAAAACCATTGAAAGCTCATGGTTACCTAAGAATCTATTATAATGTCAATAGAAGTAAAAAATATTAAAATCTTTTATAATTAAATATAGTGATGAAACCATTTTTTTTAAATTCTTAGAGAAATAACGAATAAACTTTTAGGATAAATTATAACGCTATACAAAATTATTATTATTAATGAATGAACTAACGTAGTTTTCATTATTTAATTAAACACATGCATATTTTTTAAAGCAGTTAGCTCTAGATATTTGATGTTTGCTCAGTAGACCAAATTAATAGCTACAATGGATTTCAGTTAACTTCAATAATTTCACTAACAGTATTTAATTAATTATAATGTTAAAAGGATAAAACGTTCGACAATGTCCTCAAATGTATCTCTTATATCTAATATAAATNGAATTAGTCATGAGTAAATTAATCATTATATGATTTAGACATACCTCATGATTGAATTAATTATGATTAAATCATATAATGATTAATTTACTCATGACTAATTCAATCATGATTAAACTTCAATCAAAATTCTTAACATGATTGAATTAGTTAGATTTTGCCCAACTCTGCCAGAAATACTAATTAAGTCTGGATGATGGCCATGTGAGTGAGTGCACCGTTCAGAGATGGTATAAAAAATTTTGAGAAGATTTTCGCCTTAAAGACAAAGAATGTCGTGGAATGATTTCTTCCCTAGATGATGATGTTCTGTAAGCTTTGGTTAAAGGTGACTCAAGACATGCGGGATTCGCCCAATACCAAGCAAATGTTCTCCGAATCCCGACGAGTGGGGACGAGTGCTCGGTTAATCGCCGAAATATTCGGTGCGCGCTTTGCTCTGCTGATTGTCGGTTTCCTAATCC